TTAGAATATGAAGAGTATGCTGGGAATACAGGGAGGGAGTTTGTTAGATTGAATCTTCTCAAACGTGGTGTCATTTGAGTTGAGGCTTCACAAGTGCCAAGAAGGGGAAAAGTGAATTCCAGAGGGGCAACTTAATGTAGAAAGTAACATAGACATGAAAATGGCATATCGTGTGGGCAGTGCAAGTCTGGAGAGATGGAATTAATGAATGATCCCTGGAGAGTGGTCATGGGTCTCTTCACCTCATCAAATCCAGGTCTCCTGGTTGGAGGGAGGGGGTCACAAGTGTCCTCTGAAAGATGCTTCACTCACTGAAGTCATAAGATGATGAGCTTTGTAGTAGATATAGAGGGCTTTACTATGGAAACTTTTGCATGCTAGGGCAATTCTACCATATTCACAAAGGTACTATTTACCTTCAGGGCTGGAATTTTATTGCCTTCAATTTTGAAAAAGACCTAAGTAAGTTCATAAAGAGTTTAGGAATAGTTCTACTAAAGGGCAATTCCATGAGGTTCCCTTACATAAGATATGATGCTTGTTGCTCTCAAGGGAAGGAGAAGGACAAAGATGCTGGGTTGAATAGGGAACAAGATCTAAGGGGAAACCCCAGGTAGAATGCTATGCTGATGGTCTGGAGCCCTCCTGAAAACTGATAGTTAAAATTTTAGGAATTAAACATACTTATTATTAAAAATTAAATAATAGACATGTGCAATGAAGTAGATTATGTTAAAAACAAAGGAAATCAAAACTCAAAGCTCCTCATCATTTTACTGCCTTTTACTTTGTTTCATCCCACTGAAGTTGTCTGTGTCACTTGTATCCACATGGTAGAAATACTGGTCTCCAAGCTCAGTGATGCCATCTTGGTAGCTTGAATTAGACATGACGGGAGTGAAACTGACAGCAAGGAAACTGGTGAGTGCTGGAAGTCAGCAAATGCTATAACTGGAGGACCAGAGATTAATATTTACCAGCAGGCCCCTGGGTCACTCACTTTTCTTCTGTATTCATCAGGCATGGTTGCAAGGATCCTATTTACAACAGGAAATTTAAAGTTTAAGGAGTTGGTGGGACTAGATTGATAAAATCATGGTGCTCCGTAGGAACTGCTGAAAATTTCCACCTTGGCCTTAGAAAGTTTTGCACCTCACCTCACTCCTAAAATGCAGGGCCTTCATGGTATGACTGGTCATTCCAGGAATCAGGCCTGACTTTTGTATGAAAATGACTTGATTCCTTTATCATCTGCATCAAAACATCCATATCTTGGTTTCTTGCTCCCTAGTCCTTTCAGCTGGAAGGAATGAATCTACTTTCATTTCTCATTGGGATTTACATTTGTGGCAATGAGTTCTTGTGTTAGCTTTTCAGAACCTTATATTTCTAACGGTCATTTACTAGGACATTGTATCTCTGAGGCTGGAATGTTGGACAAATGAAGGGAAGATGGGGGATGCATTTTACAGTCAGGAAATCCTGCCATCGTTTTTACCTATATTTAAGTTAGCTCTAGGTGGGGAGGTATAGATTGGGAATTTGGGATTGACCACGTAAGCTCTTCTATATTTTAAATAGATAACCAACAAGGACCTGCTGTATAGCACAGCAAATTCTGCTCAATATTCTATAATAACCTAAATGGGAGATGAATTTAAAACAGGATACACGTGTGTGTATAACTGAATCACTTTGCTCTACACCTGAAACATTTTTAATCAACTATACTCCAATATAAAATTGAAAAAATCATTCATATCAAGAGACAGAAAATCTAGACGTTTACCTTACACTTTTCACAAAAAATAACTCAAAACAGCTCTAAGACCTAAATGTAAAATGCAAAAATAAAGATTCCTAGAATATATACATGTATGTGTACATATATATATATGTTTAGGCAACGTTGTGCTTAGTCACTTAGTCGTGTCCAACTCTTTTCAACCCCATGGACTGTAGCCCACCAGGCTTCTCTGTCCATGAGATTCTCTAGGTAAGAATACTGCAATGGGTAGCCATTACCTTCACCAGGGGCATCTTCCCAACCGAGGGGGTCTCCTGCATTGTAGGCAGATTCTTTACTGTCTGAGCCACCAGGAAAGTTCAATGTGTGTGTGTGTGTATGTTTGTGTGTGTATGTATATATATATATATATGTTATCAGTTCAGTTTAGTCTCTCAGTCATGTCTGACTCTTTGCCACCCCATGGGCTGCAGCATGCCAGGCTTCCCTGTCCATCACCAACTCCCAGAGCTTGCTCAAACTCATGTTCATCCAGCCATCTTATCCTCTGTCATCCCCTTCTCCTGTCTTCAATCTTTCCCAGCATCAGGATGTTTTCCAATGAGTCAGTTCTTTGCATCAGGTGGCCAAAGCATGTATATAAATGTTTATATATATATATTTATAAATTAGCTCTCGATATTACAATCTCATGCTGCCTGCTGGCAATTATGTAAGTTGTAAGCTACTACTGTGGAATGGGAAGGCTATTGCCTTCAGTGAAATGACCTTAAATCAAGTGCCTTTATGTAGACTAACAAATAGATCAGTTGTTTCCATTTCCTGGGGAAAATGGTAAAGCAAAAAATTAACATTGCAATTAGACTGAATAAAATTATTTCTTGCATATGTGTTTTATTTATAATTGAATATGTGTTATTTTCTTTCAAGTGTTTGTAGATTCTATTGTGGTAAATGAAATACAAAAGATTTTAAAAGTGACACTGAATCTATGGTTATTTTCTAACTGTAAGTGTTCCTTTCAGGCAAGGGGTGTAAACATACAGTTACTGTTGTGAAGCAGTTACTAGTATAAGTGCCATTACCAGTCTATAAATTTGATGGCAACTTGATGAGTACACATTAAATAAAAGGGCTGCTGCTGCTGCTGCTGAGTCACTTCAGTCGTGTCCGACTCTGTGTGACCCCATAGACGCCAGCCCACCAGGCTCCCCCGTCCCTGGGGCTAGAGGAGTCTATACTGAGGGACTTCACACTCTGCAGATTCTAACTTTTAATTAATCTAGCTTTGGTCTGGACAGGAGAATTTGTGAGGATGGAGAGATGGAAAAGAAGTTTGAAAAGCCAGATACTGCGGTCAGTTCTGTCATTGTTCTGACCAGCTCATTCTTTCACTCAGCCATGGCCACTTTATCTATTGGACGGTGAGAAAGCACTCCTTGTGTGACTTCCCTGGTGGTCTAGTGGTTAAGAATCCACCTTGCAATTCAAGGAATGCAGGTTTGATCCCTGGTTGCAGAACTAGGACCCCACATGCCTTGGACCAACTAAGGCCACACACATCAGCTACTGAAGCCCATGGGTGGCTCTGCAAGACACAAATAGAGAGTCCATGTGCCACAATGAAAGATCCCACATAATGCAGTGAAGATCCTGGTGCCACAACTAAGACTGGACACAGCCAAATAAATAAGTAAATATTTATTTATTTTTTTTAAAGAGAGTACTGCTCAGCTGCAGCCCGAGAATTGGTTTTTCCCTTCAGGGCTCTTGTAGCACTTGTTACAAATAGGAGAACCCTTTATTAAAATGTGGTGGAATTAATTGTACTTTTTCCTCTCTCTCGCAGTTGGAGAATGCCTTGAATTTAGAATCCACATTTCTTTGATCTTTACCAGCCAGTGAGTGGAGTACATTGCTGATGTTGAGTGATCTGTGTGTTTTTACCTCATTGAATTACTTTGAGAATAAAAGCAGGTGGAAAAAATGCATAAAAATAGTCGATAAAGTGCGAAAAAACATGGTAACATATTATCAGTAGAATTATCTTTAATTCATTCATCAAATTTTTATTTATGTTATGTGAGTGAAAGTCATGTCTGACTCTTTGCGACCCCATGTACTATACAGTCCGTGGAATTCTCCAGGCCAGAATACTGGAGTGGTAGCCATTCCCTTTTCCAGGGGATCTTCCCAACCCAGGGGTCGAACCCAGGTCTCCCACGTTGCAGGCGGATTCTTTACCAGCTGAGCCACCAGGGAAGCTATTTACTAATTAGGTGGTAAAAAGAGGATAATTTAGAAAAAAATAAAGCAATTGTTTCAACAGCAATAGCAAACACCAGGGTCATTGCTGTGATGTATAACTGGAGAAGACAGATTTTCCAGCAGAAGATGAAATGAAGTACCTAAAGAGATCTTCTGACCTGGGTGATGATCATCTCAGGGAGACAGAAAAGAACTTTTCAGAAAGTCAGAGAAAGGGGCACCTCAGTTAGGAAGGGGGTACCTCAGTTAGGAAGGGGGTACCTCAGTTAGGAAGGGGGTCTCTGGGGTGGCACTGATGGACCAGCAGGGACTCCTCAGGGAGCCATGGCTCCAAAGCTCGGGCATCTGTGCCCACCAGCGTAGCCCACAGTCCAGCCTTGTTCACTCCCACACAGCAGAGCTAAGCTCGACACTTCTGGTAAATTGGTAGTTTTATTCTCATCTTATAAGCAGGGCTAGGAGTACACCCTTGATGAGTGAGCTCATTGATGTTTACTGGGAAATGCCGTTTGGTAAATTTGACTGTTTTTACAGAAATAGCTTGGCAGAATATTTTACACTGGGGCTATTTCAGAAAAGCCCAGATAGAATGAAAGCGAAGAGAACATGATTCTGCGGAGACTGTACCTGAAGGATACGGAAAATTTCACACATGAGTTATGGGAGGGAAACTCAATGGGAGCTGACATTTCATTCCTGAGGGTATATGGAACCTAATAGGCTTTCAGGAACTTTACACACACACATGTGTGTGTGTGCACGTGAGTATAATGACTGGACAAAGGAATTTACTGTATTCACCACAATCTTCTGCCTTTAAGCAGGTGAATGTTTCTAATCATGCAGTAGAATAGTTTATTTTTATCTTTCTAAAAATCTCTGTTGGCATCCTCAACTCAATGGACCTGAGTTGGAGCAAACTCTGGGAGATGGTTAAGGACAGGGAAGCCTGGTGTGCTGCAGTCCATGGGGTCACAAAGAGACACGACTGAGCAACTGAACAACAACAAAAATCTCTTAATATTTCCTCCCTAGAACTCATACAATTCCTGAAAGATTTGCTCTTAATTCTTATACTTAATGAAGACGTATCTTGCTTTCTTTAAATTTATTTTCTCTGCACAAGGCTTAGCTGGTGGATTGCCTTCTCACACTGTCCATCTTACATTCAAAGTGTTACTCGGGCGTCACCTTATCAGGAAATTGTCCCCCAGTCCGCAGTCTGGTCTCAATGTTCTTCTTATCTGCTCCCATAAACCTTTCTTTGAATCCATCATTACATGTCACCTGCTGCATAAGCAGATCCTTTTTTACTTTTTTCCACATCACATGGCATGTAGGGTCTTTGACCAGGAGTCAAATCTGCACCTCCTGCTGTGGAAGCACAGAGTCTTAACCATTGAATTGCCAGCAAAGTCCCTGTAAGCTGCTCTTTACCATACCATTCTTTCCCTTCATAGAGCTAAGAGATTTGAAAACTGTCAATGTCTTGTTTACATTTTACCCTGCCCCGGGCACAGTTGTGGTGCCTGACATGCAGAGTCTGCTCTGCGTTGGTGAAATGAATGAACAGATGAATTCTTGTGTAATGAACTCTGTACACTTGAAAGATAATGACTTTGGTAAGTGTTGCTTGCTCTTCAGCTTAGTTCCATGTAGACCAAGCACTCATGGTGCACACACTTAGCAGTAAGGCGTGTGTATGTGCACACACACACACACACACATGCACACACGCTGCGGCTGGGTAGTATTCCTTCATCAGAGAAAACTTTCTGTCTGCCCTTCTTTGAATGGCAAGCTCATGCACTTCCCTTTATTAAAAGCCCCAGTCGTGGTTCCCCAGACTCTAGGCTACATTCTGAGTTCTTGTCACTGCTAGTGGATTAGGGGGGGAATTCCACATGGTTTCTGAGACCTTCAAGCCAGCCAGTGTGCTACCAAGGAGTCATTGTGATTGCCACTCCCAGGCACAGAGGGAAAGTCTGAAACAGGGTCATCCTGCCCAGGTTGGTACCCTGCCTGCTCAGAGAATGACCTGGCTGATTGAGCCTGGCTGGGTCCCTTGGGCCCCTCACGATACCTGGAGGAGGCCTTTCAGCCTCTGCATCTGGCCTCGTAGCACAGCCTTGAACGTCTCGTTGCGGAGGGTGAGGATAAAGGGGTTGAGGAAGGGCGTGAGGACGGACGTCACCAGGGCCACAGTTTTGTTGACCTCCGCAGAGTGTGCTTTGCCAGGCCGGACATAGAGGAAGATGGTGCTGCTGTAGCCAATGAAGACCAGGGTGAGGTGAGAGCCGCACGTGGAGAAGGCCTTCTGGCGGCCACTGGCAGAGGGGATACGGAGCACGGTGCTCACGATGTAACCATAGGAGACGAGGGTCACCAGGAAGGAGCTGAGGACAAAGGCCAGGGCCATCACAAAGTCCCAGGATTCCAGCAGCCTGGTGTCTGAGCAGGACAGCTGCATCAGAGGGGCGTTGTCACAGAAGAAGTGGTTAATGACGTTGCCATGGCAATAATTGAGATGAACCCGGGAGAAGACAGTGGGCACCATGGCCAGGAAAGGAGTTGCCCAGGCAGCCCCTGCTAGCTGGGCACACACAGCCCCGCTCATCAAAGTGCCATAGTGCAGGGGGTGGCAGATGGCCACAAAGCGGTCCAGGGCCATGTCGGACAGGATGAGGAAGGAGGTGGAGCCCAGGGAGAAGTAGAAGTAGAACTGGACCATGCAGCCAGTGAAGGAGATGACCTTGTGGGGGGCCAGCAGGTCAGAGAGCATCCTGGGCACGGCAGTCATGGTCACCAGGATCTCCAGCAGGGAAAAGTTGCCCAGGAAGAAGTACATGGGTGTGTGGAGGTGGGTGTCGACGAAGATCGTGATGACGATGACTGTGTTTCCTATGAAGGCGAGAAGATAAAGCACAAGGAAGGGCCCGTAGAGCAGGATCTGCAGTTTACCAAGAGGGGAGAAGCCCAAGAGGATAAATTCAGAAGGGTGGCTCAGATTTGCCATGGTGCCGGGGCTGGGAGCCCGAGGGGAAAGGCAACAAGAGACAGAGATGGAGAGACAGAGAGAGACAGACAGAGAGAACCAGTGACCGTGAGACAAGGCTAGAGGTGGAGGAAGAGAGGCTGGTAGGTAGTCATGGGTTCACAGAAGGAGAGATAAAGACAAGAGAAGAAAATGGGAATATGAGAATCATTGAGAAACAGAGAATCATAGAAGAAAAACATGGAAATCGACTGATAAGGAGAGAGGAAAGCAGACAGGAGCAGAGGAGGAAAGACAACACAGCAACAGACATTTAGAGAAAGGGCAAGAATGGAATGAAACAGGAATGGAGGAGTAGGAGAGGAATACCCAACAGGTGAGAGGGAAACAGAAAAAGATAGGGAGAGGAGGGAACATGGAAAGAGAGAATTTGTGTCAGTCAATCAGATGCCCAGAGTGTAGGGCGATGCTGGGGGTCTGTGTCATGACCCAGAGAGTCTGAGAGCCCTCTTAAATCTCCCTTTATGTCTTTCTGGGCTGTCTCCCTGGTGAGGACCCTCCATCACTCACATTTCTCCAGTTATGATCATGAAATGAATGGGAAGCCAGAGTTTCAAGCCAGTAAATTAACATCCTTTGGGGAGGACCCCCTGGTGTATGTATCCAAAGATGGGGAGCAGAAGGAACACAGGAGGGCACAGAGACCAGCCTGGAACTAGACAGGGACTAGAAGGGCATCAGTATTCTAGCCAGTGGCGGGCACTGCTCTGATGAGGCGTGTCCAGGGGGACATCCCCCAGACATCCCCACCCCTTGCCCACATCCCGACTCTGCCACCTCAGCCCTAGTGGTTTGGAGCGTAAGCTCTGGACCTAGGTCAGATTCTGATCTGATGTTTGTCAAACATAAATCTGCTGCTCTCTACTACTTCCCTCTCTTAGCCTCAACCTCAGTTCAGTTCAGTTCAGTCGCTCAGTCATGTCNCTGAGAGACTGAAATGTGCTCTTACTATAAATCATTCATGTGATAAAGGAAGAGCTAGATATTTAGCCAAGTCTTTCAGAGCTTCATCTGTTGGTAAAGAATATGATAAGGCAAAAGCTTAATGGAAACTGCGAGTTAGAAATCATATGACTACAATTTTCCTGTGTTTTATCTTACACTTCATGCATCATACTCTACTTACAAATCAAATTTCTGCTAGAGTAACAGATTCTTGAAAACAAACAAGCCAAAAAAAAAAAAATCTGAGGCTTCATCGTGGTGTAACAATTGTGAGAAAAAAGCTTTGAACACATAGTTCTAGTTCTTACATATGTAAACTGAGCTATGTCTGGTAAGCACAATGAATCATCTAAGTGGGGAAAAAAATCAGACCACAAAAGGGGGAAGGGTGACTAAAATTTATTCATTAATTACTATGTGTTCAATTGCTTCCTTATTTCTCAGTTCAGATGACTTCTTCCTCTAGGTGATGACCCTTCCTGTACTGTGCCTAGTAACCTTAGACCTCTGACTGCCCAGAAAGCTTCAAAAGAATATTTGACACAACCAGCATCTCCCAGTTCTCGACCACCCAGTTCTCGACCACTCTATCTCCCTCTCTCCCTCCAGTAAAACTATCTTACAGCTAGATGTCACACAGCAACAGTCCAGTAAATTAATACATATACCAAATTTTTAGGATGAACAATACCTTTACCTGCTAATCGTCTCTTGTAAGTTTTCGCAAAGCCAAAAGTCACGAGGTGAAATTTGAATCTTCAGTATCAGGTTTATGGAAAAGGTACTTTTTGAGAAATACTCTCCTATGCCCCTCTAATCATACAGTCTAAGAGGCCTTGCCATCTTTTTTCCAGTAAGATGGACTCTAAAGACCACAAAGGCCTTGTTTCCTGTCCTTCGCTGGAATGTGGAAATCTTGTCTATATCGTGTCTATATAATCGTGTTCGAAGAGGCCTGCAAAATTAGGTCAGATAAACAGGGTGGCAACTGCCACAACAACTTTAGAAGAGGCAGTATCCAACCCTTGCAACTTTCGCTACGGTCTCCAGATGGGATCGCCCAGGCAAGACTTTAGAATCAAATAAAAGAAAGCTTCCTGGCATTTTAACAAAATAAGAATTTTTTTTTTTCTAGGATTCACGTTCACCCCCAAAAATGTGGGCCTTAAAAACCCTCTATGATTTCTTGGTCCTCCCAAGGCGCCTACCATCCGAAAGTATGAGAAAACAGAGGGCTGTGACGGGGATTCTCTCATTTCCCTGGTGCTACAGCAATGGCTCAACCAGGACTGGCCTCGCGAAATGGCTTGTGAGGGACAAAACGAACTTTTAGAAAAGAGAAGGGAAAACACAGGATAGGGACCAAGGACTCGGGGTGTGGGCACATGAGGCGATGGGGGTTCTAGATGGGCACGCGACGGAGGAACCCGCGGAGTAGTATAGAAAACAGGAGTTAGAGACACCGAGAGGCCAAACGGAGGACTCCGATGGGAGGGGGCGGGGAGAACGGCCACGTCAATCCCGGCTCCGCCCGCTACGTTTTCACTAGTGTACTGGACTCCCATCCTTTGCTCTGGGCATTGGTTCTCACCGTTCGTCATGGCGGCTGGGCCCGTTCCTGGATAGGAAGTCCGGGGGGGTCAGTGGCGGTAGGGGCGAAGACCGGGGGAACCCAGCTCCCACTTGACACTTCCCGATCCGGGCCGCGGCGACGGGCAGGAGCCGTAGTACGCAGGCGCAAGGGAAGGGAGGCGAGCGCCAAACACAATCAGGCATGGCTAGGAGATTGCCGAGCTCGGGGAAGCTGGGTTGGGTGGAGCTCGCAAGAAAAGGTGTGGGTGAGAAGGAAGCTGTCCAGAAGGCGTCCTTCGTGGCCATGGTAACCAATAATTTCTGGTTGCCCCTGCAGATTTAGTGCTGGGACTAATCTGACCTGCTCCCGTCGTTGTGTTTAAAAAGGCAAAAAGAAAGAAAGTGAAGTCGCTCAGTCTTGTCTGACTCTTTGCGACCCCGTGGACTCTAGCCTACCAGGCTCCTCCCTCCATGGGATTCTCCAGGCAAGAATACTGGAGTGGGTTGCCATTTCCTTCTCCAGGCCTAAGGAGGCTAAAATCAGGAGGTTGCTGGAATTGTGCCTCTCTCTGAAGGCTCCTTGGTTTTTCCAGCTTCTGACAGCTGCTATGACTGAATCTAAACTCAGTCCTTTTTTTGCACTGTTCCTTGTTCATTCAATCCCTGGACCCTGTGATGAGTCTTAGTTCCTAAGTGCAGTGAGAGATTCTTAGAACGCCCACTAGTGGAGCCTCCTACCTGTGGTACCCAGAGTCTGACACGGAGATATGAAAGGATGGGACAAGTGACCCACACAGCTAAAATGTGTCCAAGACTGATGCTGAGTCCGTGATTTAATACTCATTGTTTCTATACAATAACATAGGGCAGCAGTGTGGTTGATGTAGGGCTGGAAAGAGAGAATGAGTTCTATGGGGGAAACCACATGGAACAGTTCTCTTGCTGTCCCTTGTTTCAGAGGATGAGTGTACCTGGTTCTGTTTACCCTGTTCTAATCTTAGAATGCCTGCTGAGTTTCAGAACTGAACTGGACTGGATGGGAAACTAGATTACAGTGGGTGCACTTTGTAGGAATGACAAGGAAAGCAACAAGCCCCTGGGGGTTTGTATAATACAGCTGATGTGCTCAAACTAACACCCGGAGGCAGGGAGGTCCATCCTAGGTCTCCAGAGGCACATAAATAATGGGTGTGGGGTGTGTGTGTGTGTGTGTGTGTGTTTGGGGGTGGGTGTTGAAAGCAGGTCTAGTTTTGAAGTCTGGCATTTGCATAGTACTTGTTCACTATGGATTCGCTGAATAAGGACACCTTAGTTTCTTCATGTGTAAAGTGGGGATAAGAGTAACTCCCCCATGAAGTTGTTTTCAGAATCAAGGAAAATTGCATGCAAAGCCCTAATATAGGTCTACCCTGAATATAGGGAAAATGTGGCAAATGTTAATAAGTTGGGACTAGTGAGTGAAGGAAGTGGAAGAGGTCCTTCCCCAGCCCTTCCTGTCCACTGGCCTCCTTGGCCATCTGAACGATGTTATTGGTTGAATGAGAGCCTGAAGCTTCAGGGTGCCCAGCTGTGAATTTGCCTGCTCCCCCAGCTCCTATGAGGCTAACTTCCCTTGGCACCCCTTCAGCTATTATAGACACTGAGGTTGTTATAGCCACACACTTAAGCTCAAGGGCTGATAATTATTGTTATGGGCAAATGCAATACACTTTCATTGATTTGATATTTACTGAACACCTACTTTGTACCTATCTGTAATTTATTCAACTCAAAGCACCTGTCTTTGATTATGAAACCTTTGTGGATAGGTCTTCAAAGGTATATTTTTGAGTCTTAGAATGTTAGAGGTGGTTAGATCCTTAGTGGTCCTTCGGGTCAGCCCCTCCCCAGTGCATCACTTCCTGCTGAAAGCAGCTCCTTCTACCCATAGAAGGCTGATCCAGCACCCAGGAGTCCACGGTCATTCATTCTAACTCAGCTAGTAAATTTTTGTGTGACCTTAACCAGTTCCTCTAGCTTGCCAACAAAGGTCCATCTAGTCAAAGCTATGTTTTTTTCTAGTAGTCATGTATAGATGTGAGAGTTGGACTGTAAAGAAAGCTGAGCGCTGAAGAATTGATGCTTTTGAACTGTGGTGTTGGAGAAGACTCTTGAGAGTCCCTTGGACTGCAAGGAGATCCAACCCATCAATCCTAAAGGAAATCAGTCTTGAATATTCATTGGAAGGACTGATGCTGAAGCCGAAACTCCAATACTTTGGCCACCTGATGTGAGGAACTGACTCATTTGAAAAGACCCTGATGCTGGGAAAGATTAAAGGTGGGAGGAGAAGGGGATGACAGAGGATGAGATGGTTGGATGGCATCACCGACTCAATGGACATGAATTTGAGTAAACTCCTGGAGTTGGTGATGGACAGGGAGGCCTGGCATACTGCAGTCCATGGGGTTGCAAAGAATCGGACACGACTGAGCGACTGAACTGAACTGAACCAGTTCCTCAGTCTCTCTGGGTGTCAGGCTCATCATATATAGATACAGTTGTGGAAGATGCTTTCTTTCCTTCTCTAACAGTCTCTGACCCTTATTAATATCACTAGTCATTCTAATCTCTTGTTCTTTTACCTCCAAATATGGCACTCCTGGCCCCAACCCAGAGGGAGGAGAAGTTTTGCCCTATGCTGGTTCTTCTCTCTTTTTTCTTCCCTGCCTCCATCCATCTACTTCCCTCTCCTTCCCTCTGTTGATTTGTCTCTCTTTCTCCCTCATTTCCCTTTATTTTAGAAATATTCATTGAATTCACAAAATATCTGAAAAACCCATAACTCTGGTTCTATATAGCATGCTTTAAAATAAAT